TAAAAGTCAGTGCGTATCCGGTTTGTTGTTCTTTACCTCTTCTTAACACCTATGACACTGTAAAAAAAGTTGTACTAAATTTCCAGAACTTTAAGTCTGAAGTTTTTTTTACAGACCAGTAGTCTTAAAATTCAGACTGCATCCGCGTCTGAAATTTAAGTAGTGCCTAACCATACTTAGTCTGAAACTTCGACAGCCGATATGAAAATATTTTGGATTCTGTTAAAAATGAACACATCGCGAGCGACTTAAAAGTTGTCGGGGTAAAGGGTGAACACCTATCTGTCCATTCGGTACTGCCCTTGGATGGGATAGAACCGCCAACCTCCAGGTTAGGAAGCCGCCACCTTAACCATGGCTGCTGGCCACCTGCGGGGGAGCAGGCATCGGCTACTGGTGTACTTCGTCCGCCTGTGTCCGGTGGACTCACTCAAAATTCATTGGCTGAGCGATTAGCGAAGCCTATTGCTCCAGTGATGATCAAAAAGTTTCGCGTCTGTCTGTGTGTGTTTGTCATCACGATAACTCAAGAACGAATTGAGCTAGCGACCTGGGATTTTCAGGGTCGTTTGGTGCTATAAAAAGACAGATCGAGTTCGAAGTAAAGCATTCTAGCTCATAAATTGGATTCTTAAACAATCAAAAACAACGGATCCGAAAAATGACGTTTTTGGAAAATATTTTTTTGCGGTTTGCTAAGGGGTAACTCATCAAAGTAGAGTCCTGTGGACGAAAATTTCGTCCGTTTGGCTCTATCTCTGACCGTTGAGTCGCCCGAGGCTGTTTTCCACACGGAAATGACCCCAAACCATTTCAATGTTGTTGTTTTTTTTATAATATTTAACGGTCTCTGATGGGTCAACTCGTCAAAATAAAACCCTGGGGAGCAAGATTTGTGACTTTTGGGGCCAAAGGCCTATTTACGACTCTATCTTTATCCCGACTCGGGTGTCAGCGCCTCAAGCCTTATTAGATGTATGCCAGGCGCGTCGCAGCGTTACTGTGTTTAGTGAGATAACACGCACGAAGCCTGTTACGCGAGACGTGGTCTGGCGTACATCTACCTAGTACCGATAACTCTAAATTATAGATACAGTGTATAGTCTGAAAATATACTTTAGAATATTTAGACAAATTTCTCTGAAAACCTGATTCAGAGTACAAAGTCTGGATTTTCAATCTAAACTGGGAAACTTTGAGTAATGGTCCAAAAGAAGATTCAGAGTGCCAATTCTGTAAAACATCTACTGAATTTTCAGAATTTATTTTACAGTGCATTCGATGCATTGAGCCCGTGAAGGCAGAGCGATGCAAGGGTAAGTCACGTTATAAATAATGTTACATGATATTATACGGAAGGTGACACAATTCACATATTATTGAATGTGACGTCACAGTATTTTAATGACATGGCAGTTTTGATCCATAGAGTGTTTAGCGTCCAAACATGGATCACAACCCCTAAATATAAAAGGGGGTTGTTTTAGGATAAAACGTAAAAAAAAATGTCCTTTCCTTGTACTGTTCTGTATCATGAATGAGAAAACTCTAGCCCGGTGATCCATGTTAGGAATCGCCCCTCCAAACATTCATGTTGCATGGTTCAAAACTCAGGGTCATGAAAATTCCCCGTAGCTGCTACAGTATTGGAGCCAGGACCTTCATCCCCTTGGTATATTTACCTACAAGGTTCAAACTACGCGGCGACGGTACAAACATAGGCTCATCACACCTCTATCTCTATCGATCCTAAAACCACGGTTTTCTGTTTACCTTATACAGGTCGAAGGCTGAACAGTTCTACCGGTTAACGATTGCACGTGCTTAATTAACGCTGCCCACCCACGCGGCAGCATGCTGCGGTCTCCTTGTGCACGAGGAATGCACAAGGACTCACCTGGTGCGCTTTACTGCGAGCCAGCCTGCCTGGGAGCC